GTGTATATGTACCTGGAAGCACAGCATCCAGGACTGTGCAGATGCTCAGCTGTTGTCTCATAAGTGACAGAACTGTCATCCACCAGGTAGGAGGAGCACGGAAGATTAGTTTTCTTCTACTTTTTTTAAAAAAAATAAAAGTCGACAACAGGTACATGTTGCTGTAACAGCAGAAGGAACAAGGAGCCTAAAATCATGAGAACAAACCCAGAGATGTGTTCATATTTCAATTAAAAGAGAAAGTTGTAATGATATTAAGGATGTTAGGGTGGGAGTGAGGGTAAGAATGTATTTCATATGCTACGGAGGGGATAAGAGTCAAAAAAAATAAGTTGCTGCAGGCTGCAGGAAAATATTATCAGAACTCAGCTGGTTATGGCAAAGCCACTACCTGAAGGGATCAAGGAATCCCTCCAGAGGAAGCCAAATTCCAAGGAGTCTTTGGTGTTATTTGGCTTGTTATATATCAGCTGTCTTCTGTTATGAAAATCACGTGTGCCTTCATAATTTTCCCAGTTCATTTTTCCCTGAGTTAACAGTGTATCACTGATCTGATACTCTCTAGACATACACATTCCAGGTATTTGGAGAACAGACTCAGGAAAGGCTTCCTTCCCCTCAGCCCATCTGTTTCTCCCCTTTCAGCACTGGAATCTGATATCTCCCTTAGCCACATTCTAGAACTAACAGGTATAACAGTCTACATGCTAGTCTCTTAATTTAAGGCAAATTCCACAAGGAGAAACCACCTACCTAGGTCAGGTGGACATAAAGTAATAGCTTTACACAATTTAGCTTGGACCCTCCTTTCTTACAGCCTTACTAAATTCATAGATCCCTAACTTCTTACCTAACCACTTCTGGGAATGTAGACTGAGCACATAGATCCCCCTTTTTCATACACTAACCGGTCATTAGCACTCAGGTGACCTCCTCTTTTACCACTCCCATTTTGGATTGTTAAAGAAAGCCTGGTGGTCACTACCTGAGGAAGATTCTTACTGCCTTTATGACTCCATAGAATTCAAGCCTGGTGACCTTGCTCAGCCAGGGGATTGCCATTGCTTGGGTTTATAACTGGACTCCTGAGAGACTTAGGGAGGACGTGGAGACAGAGAACGGAGAGGGATAAGGAGGATTTTGACCAGAGAGAACGTGTGGACAAGATGGAAGATGAGGAAGAGTCAGATGGGGAAGTACTAGCTGGGTAAGAATGAGATGAAAAGGACCTAGATGAGGCAAAATTAAGACGAGAGAATTAAGATAGAACTTAGAGGGATCAGTAGATAAATATAGAGAGAAATCAGCCAAGAAAGGAGCGAGGGACTAGAACAGAACTGAAGTTGTGTATATAGGATATTATCCCAGAGGAATTAAAGCAAGTGGACTATAGAACTCAGTGTGCTGAGATTCTTTTTCCCAAAAATAGTCCTCGCCGTTCATAGTTTTCTATCCTGAGCCCCTGGGAAGTATTAATATTAAGGCTGGTACTTTAAATATTATACAAGAAGAAGTATAAGGAATAAAGAAAGAAAATATATTTTGGATGTTTTCACTAGAATTGGTAAGGTGGCTCTCTGGTCCTCCCTGTTCCAGAACAGCTGGATCTTCTCATGTAGTGCCAGCTCTGTCCCTGAGACACAATGGTGAAGGTCAGAGTGAACAGATCTGGCCCAGGGCCTGATTCCCAGGGCTGCTTTCCACTCCGGCGAAGTGGATGTTGTTCCCATCAATGTCCCCCCACCGACCCCAACTATGTGGTCTACATGTTCCAGCAAGATCCACAGCACAGTCATGGCTGGCCGAGAATGGGAAGCTTGTCATCAGCACAAAAGCCACCCCCGTCTTCCAGAAGTGAGATCCCGCCATTATAAAATGGGGCGATGCTGGTGCCAAGTATGTTGTGGAAGTTACTGGTGTCTTTGCTGCCATAGAGTGCCAAGGCTCTCTTGGAAGGGTGGAACCAAATGGGTCTTCATCTCCTCCCCTTCTGTTGATGTTTTTGATGGCTGCGGGCCACCAGAAGTGTGACAACTCACTCAAGATCACCAGCAATGCCTTCTGTACTACCGACTGCTTAGCCCGCTTGCCAAGGTCATCCATGACAACGTCATCATCATCAAGGGACTTCTGACCACACAGTCTGCTGGGGGATGGTCTGTATGTTAAATTGCTCTGATTGGTCAATAAATAAAACACTGATTGGCCAGTGGCCAGGCAGGAAGTATAGGCGGGACTAACAGAGAGGAGAATTGGAACAGGAAGGCAGAGGGAGACACGGCCAGCTACCGCCATGACAAGCAGCCTGTGAAGATGCCAGTAAGCCACGAGCCATGTGGCAAGGTATAGATTTATGGAAATGGATTAATTTAAGATATAAGAACAGTTAGCAAGAAGCCTGCCACAGCCATACAGTTTGTAAGCAATGTAAGTCTCTGTGTTTACTTGGTTGGGTCTGAGCAGCTGTGGGACTGGCGGGTGACAGATTTGTCCTGACTGTGGGCAAGGCAAGAAAACTCTAGCTACAACAGTCCATGCTATCACTGACACCCAGAAGACTACGGACAGCCTCTGTGTACAGTAGTGGTGTGATGGTCACGAGACTGCCCAGAACATCATCTCTGCGTCTACCAGTGTCGCCAAGGCTGTGGGCAGGACCATGCCAGAGCTGAAAAAGAAGCTCACTGGCATGGCCTTCTATATCCCCATCCCCGATGTGTCCACCGTGGATACGGCATGCCCCCTGGAGAAAGCTGCCAAGAACAGTGATATCAAGAAAGTCGTGAAACAGGCATGGGGGTGGCGGGCTACCAAAGGGTATCCTGGGCTACACTGAGGACCAGGCTGCTTCCTGCAAATTTGAACACTGACACCCACTCTTCTACCTTTGAAACCAGGACTGGCATTGTTCTCAGCGACCACTTGGTCAAGCTCATTTCCTGGTAGGACAAGAAATGTGACTACCACAGAGTGGTACGTCTCATGGACCACATGGCCCCCAAGGAGTAAGATGCCCTGGACCACTGGGACCACCCACCCGAGCAAGAACGGCAGGAAGAGTGAGGCCCTCTGCTGCCGAGGAGTCCCTGTTCCGAGTCAGCCCCTAACACTGAGCATCTCCCTTCACAGTTTCTATCCCAGACCTCCAGAAGTACACAAGGGACTTAAGGAGACCATCAATAAAGTTCACTGCACATACACATACCCAAAAAGAGAGAGAAAGTTGGTGAGGTTAACTATGATATTCAGTCTATTTTCCAACAATCACAAATTTATCCCGCAAGGATGGAGTGAAGTCCCTGGGACCCAAAGGAAATTCCCTGCAGGCCTTTGGACTACATTTATTATCTATCGCAATGTAGTTTAGTGATTTGAAATGGTGACAGACGTTTACTGTCCCACACAGCTTCTGTGGGTCAAAAACTTAGGCACAGCTTAGCTGATCTGAGTGTAGCATGAATCTTTAAAGAGTCTTATTAATAAAAACAAACCCGGAGCCAGGTATTGGGGTGAATGCTGGAAGATCAAAGAGACAGAACAGGCCACAGCCACCTCACCTTGCCAATTCCTCAGCTGATCCTGTTTCCTCAGACTGGAAGCCTCTGAGTCCTCATCCAAATGGATCTCAGCTGAACTGCTTCTCAAAAGCCTGAAAGCTTAACCAGGTTCTAGTTCCTCATCCTCACGCCTCAAATACCTTTATGCTTTCAGCCATCACTCCCTGGGATTAAAGGCTCACTTCTTGGGATTAAAGGCGTGAGTTACCATGCTTGGCTGTATCCTTTGTGGCCTTGAACTCACAGAGATCCAGATGGATCTCTGCCTCTGGAATGCTAGGATTAAAGGCATGAGTGCCACCATTTTCTAGCCTCTGTATCTAGCGGCTGTTCTGTTCTCTGACCCCAGATGAGTTTATTAGGGTGCACAATATTTTGGGGAACACAATACCACCACACCTGAGGGCTGTGGTCCAGGTGCCAGTCGGGGCTGCAGTCATCTGTAGCTGTGCTGGGACTGAGGGTCTATTTCTAGGACCGTACACTCAAGTGATGCTGACCATTGGCCTCCGGTCCTCGCAGGTGGCCTCTTCGTGGATCGTTTCAGTTCTTCAAAACACAGTCAGTGGCCTTCCTCGGAGCAAATGATCTAAAAAGGGACCAAGCCAAAGCTGCCGTGTATTATGACCCAGTCTCAGAAGTCACTCACCTTCCTTCCTACAACAGCTCCACGATTGCATCAGCCCTGTGTAAAGTGAGAAGGGTACACAAAGGCATGGATACCAGGACCCGGGACTGTGCGGGTATCCGGGGAGCTTGCTATCTTGTGGACACAGGAACATCTGAGCATGGAGCTTCGGTACAGTGGATCCAAATGAAGGAAAAGGAAAGCGAATGAGGCAAGATAAATGGAGACTGACTTCCAGAGCCAGGGATGTAGGTGTGCAAGCCATTTGGTTTAATTCCCAGTTTGTGTGTTGATAAGGCATAAGATAGCAATAATGAGAAAAAAAAACCTATTGAATTCTAGCTGCATATATTAAAATACTGATAAGAAAGGCAAACTTTGCTAGAGAAAGAGAAAGTGTATGGGGGGGCGGGGGCGCGTGCGCACACGCACACGTGCACAGGAGGCCAGAGGCCAGCCAGAGGTGTCTTTCCTCAGGCACCACTGATGCTTCTTTGAAGACAGTGTCTCTCATTGACCAGGAGCTGCATCAATTAGCCTGCCTGAAAATCGAACCCAAGGGATCCGCCTACCTCTACCTCCCCAGCCCTGAGAGGACAAGCATGTGCCACCATGCCTGGCTTCATTTATAAAAAAAAATGGGTTCTGGGGATCAAACTCAGGTCCTCCTGCTTATAAGGCAAGCACAACCACTTTACCAACTGAACCATCTCTCAGCCCTCTGCTTTAATATTCCAAACCAGAAGTGGAGAGCTATCCAACATAATGGGTCAAGTATCTCAAAAGGGAAACGCAGCAAAATGCATACCAAGAAATAATTGAACAGATTCTGTCTTTATTTACAGAGATTGGTATTATCAATGAAGACTTATCAAGTACCTAAGAAGTCTGTAAAATGTGGAATGGGTTATTTGACAAGCTATTGACGAAAATAAGCAGTGTTCTGGGGCCTCATGTAGTAAACATGTGTGTTACACCTCCTCAGCACCTGTTGAGGAGCCCATACCCAGCATTGAAATGTTTCTCTTGATTCTTCTTGCTGTGTATCCTGGGGTCTGTCATGGCTGCTATGGCCCAAATGCCAGAGCAAGAGTTCTGACTGGTAGGGAGAAGGCACAGAGGTAAAAAGGAGGGTGGAGTTGAGACACGCAGAAGACATGGCATTTATAATCAGCCCCTATACACAGGGAGCCCGCGGGTACCCTCAGGATATAACCAAGGAGGTGGAGGCAGCAAATTTCTACCTTCTGGCCAGCTATAATATTTTCTGCCTTCCATGGAAAGGTCACTCTGGGGACCAAGGCACTTGATTACCAGGTGTCCAGCACTTAATTTCCCAGGACACAGGATTTCCAGCATGGAAATTCAGACGGCCCCAGGCATCTCTGAGACTGAGTCAGCCAGTCCTATTTCTGTTTTTAAGCATATCCGAGGACCAGGTTGTCTCTGGATTCCCACTTTCTTCCTCCGTGTACTGATGGTCAAGTATTCCTGCTGACATGGGTAGGTCAACCCCTGTAAAAGTAGAGAGTTAGAAAACGTCTGGAGAAAAGACCACACCACATCTAAACTCTAGATAAGCCAGAGCAAAAAGCTTTGGAAAGTTATAAATTAATATTTGAGGATGATGGGAAATGAGGAGTAAAATCAATAAGCGGACAAAAAGGACAGGCAAGTTGTGGGATACTTTTTGAAGAATCAAATATATAACAGCAGCTATCGTGGTCTTGGAGATCAGAACTGCAGAGCAGTTAAAATACAGTTGTCAATCCATGTGGGGGACAGAAGAACAAAAAAAACAAAAAACACATTATAGAGAAAGAGAAAAGAGGGGTAATATTAACATATTCTGTAAAACAGTTAATAATCGCAACTAGAGCATCATATTGTCAGCGATATCCACAGACATCTCAAGCGTCTAGGAAACTGTTGTCTATAAAGAACTAGGCTGTGCCTAGTGGATTCCCACCGCTAGGTGGGGTGAGCAATAAAAATAAAACCAGACTTTCTCTCCACATTCCTCTGTGAACTAAAAGGGATTGATGATGCTGGAGAGCTGGCTCACAGGAGCTCACACTGCTCTTACAGAGGACCAGAATTCAGTTCCTAGCGTCTCTGTCACATGACTCATGACCCCCTGTAATTCCAGCTCCAGGGAATCTTACACCCTCTTCTGACCTCCATGGGCAACTGCGCTCTCATTCACATAAGTCCCCAGACACACAAGCATATACATATTTAAAAATAAAACCGGCCGAGCCGTGGTGGCGTACGCCTTTACTTGGGAGGCAGAGTAGGCAGATCTTTGTGAGTTCGAGGCCACCCTGGTCTACAGAGCGAGATCCAGGAAAGGTGCAAAGCTATACAGAGAAACCCTGTCTCGAAAAACTAAATAATAATAATAATAATAATAATAATAATAATAATAATAAAACCGATTTTTAAAACAATTACCCCCGACGCTTACTTGATAATTCCAAGCGAATGTCAGGGGTAATTGTTTGTAGGCTAAAAGCCTCAGACCTCTGACTCTCATGAAGATTCTCTGAGGGAACCCAAGCCTACTCAAACACGGCTTTAGCCAAAATACACGGCCCTTCAGCTCTGGAGCTTGTCACTGGGGCACATCTGTGCTGCTATGACCCACACCACTCTCCTCCTACCTTTTGTCTAAAGAGTCTGCAAAAGGAAGCGGCTCCTGGAGAGGCTAAGTCGCTGTGTGCTTAGATCTGGTCTGCAGGACTCGGGAAAATCTGAAATGCATTGTGACCTGCTAATCATCTTTCATAGCTAACCAAGTGATCACTGATTAAAAATAGCGTCGAATGTGTATTGGGCATCTATTTCGGGCCTCGTTTTATTTGGAATGCAAATCCTGTTGGAAGCCAGAGCGGCGGGCATTAAGCAGCAGCTGGAAATCGACTCTGAACGTTCCAGCCAATTCACGTCGAGCCCAGTTGGCAGAATTAATGCCATTCTGCCGTCTCAGCGAAGGAGAGGCGGTTAATTATGCCCCACTGCCCAGCGGTTTCTATTATGGACACATCTGGACTGAAAGGCTCATTTGAAATCTCCAATCTCTCTGCTTCCTGGAGCCTGAACCAAGCTGAGGGCTTGATTTGTGATGTGGGGGAGGGGAGGGAGTGTAAGCAAACAGCTTTGCCCACGTGCAGCACCACCCCCACCCCCCACCCCCACCCCCACCCCCCGAGGAAGGTCTGATGAAAGTCCGCTGGAGTTTCAAAGGCCCGTGGTTCTGTCCCAATGCTCAGACTTCTATCAGTGTTGCCTCGGAGTTCCTAACACACAGTGTCTGCCCAGGTTGAGCTGTAAATAATAAATAAAGCACATGCATTCCTGCCTGCACCTTAGGGCAAGGGAGTTTAGTTTCCACGGTGCCCTCTACCACCACCGCAGGCTGGGATGTTTTCATCTTCCCTAAAGGAAGGTAAGGCTGAGACCTTGTCTGCTTTGAACAAAAAGCCTTTCAAGAAATGTCTATGCCCTGGATCAAGACACATAGCCGTCTGTTATAAGAAAAACTTCCCTCCGAGTAATGGCTGCCTCCCGGCTTGGCAGTCGGCACCACTCTGTGAGGATTTCTCTGTTGGAGGTGCCATCTTTGAGAGGAAAATTAAAACAGACCATCACTCAAACCCAAGGGTGGCCATGGAAATCCTCCAGGGCTTCAATTTTTGGAACTGGATCCCTGTCTTCTTTCCATTTGGATTTTCTACTGTACATAATTGAGGAAGTTCGGTTTGAAAATGTAAAAATATATAATGATCAAATCAGGATAATTAGCATCTCCCTCTCCTTTTATACTTACCAGTCCTTTGTATCAGGCAACTTCAAAGTCTTCTAGCTCTCTCTCTCTCTCTTTTTTTTTTATGTTTTATAAAATCTTTATTGACAAATAATTCACGTAGTATACAATTTGCCTGTTTGCACAATTTGATAGACTTTAGTCCAGCATCCTCATAGGCCCAGGACACCATCACCACTTTCTATTTAAAAACATCACTGTCTTCAATTTCATACACACATGTAATGTATGGTGATTACATTCGCTTCATTTTTTAATGAATATAATATTTACAATTGTAACCATTTTTAACAACAACATATTATTGTGGACTATAGTCACTCCACTGTGTTTGGGTGCCTGTCATCCAATCTCCCCGTGTTTTCTAAGGACCGCAAGTCAACTCTTTGCTTCTGTGAAATCAACTCTCGGGTCTCACTTACTAGTGAGAGCGTGTGATACATTCTGTACCTGGCTCGCTTCGCTGAGTACAAGCAGGTCACTTACTATTCCCCTGGGACCTCAAATAGCTCAGGTCTCCCATCGCCCTTCTCTCCCACGTGTCCCTGAAAGGTAACTGGATTTCTCTCAGTATGGAAGATGCTCAGGTCCAGCAGGACCCTAAAGCAGGGGACCTGGACCAGGCTCAGTTGATATATTAGATGTCTCCACCCTGGCGGTGTCTGAAGCCCTGGGAATCCATCCCCTCACTCTCCATCCTCCCTTAAACAGCCTGATGACTAAAATTCATGTTGAGTGACTTCCTTTATGCCAAACCCTGCACGGTTTCATCCTTAATACAGAATAAATTACCTCATGGACATTCACAACTCGGGCCATAGGAGCTGAACTCAATGTGGTGATACAATAACCAAAGCACGGGTACCCTCAACACCAGGTCAGGGGGATTGGCCACAACGCTGTTCACATCTTTATAGCATCGGGACACCGAGGAGGAAACTGAAGAGTCACCTGGCCTGGACACAGACAACATTCAGAGGCAAGATCCCTCTCTCCTGGGATCCCAGACTCCGAAACAGCCTTTCTCTGCACTACAGAAATTCCCAAAATGCCAGGTTGTGGCTTCAGGAAGCATCTCTTGCAATAGGTCCCCCATGAAAGCAATATGAGTGTGATACTTCCCGCCAGTGCCAGAGGATAACTGGCTAGGGCCAGATTCGGAGATTGAGATTCTAGGATTGTTCAACACCACGCATAAAGACAGAATCCCAAAGGAAGAAACTTGTGGTGTTCAAAAAAAGGGAGTGCTTCTTCAGGGGCCGAGATTTGCATTCAAACCCCAGGTGGGCTGCAAGAGCTGCCCCCATGTGCTCAGGCTTTCTGAGCCTTGGCTGTCCTGTGAATAATTGCACGAGAATTAAACTGGACAAGATGCAGAGAGAAGAGCAAAAGCTGTGTTCAGTGTAACTGTGAGTTATCCTGCTCCCTTCGTGGAGGATTCTTTGGTTGTCTCTTGCCCAGTTACAGATTAGAATCACCTGGGGCATTTGCTGTGCCATCTCGCCAGAGCTCGATTCCCTTCCCTGAAGGTTGTGATGTTCTTAGTCATAGATACTCTAAATATTCTTTTTTAAAAATCTTGCCCAGATTAATAGTCACTGCCCAAATACATCAAAATGAGTATCTTCTTTGGACCTGAAATTTTATATTAAGGTTTAGGCAAACATTTTACTTCTCTGAGTCTTGATTTGTTACTAAAAAGAGGAACGATATTCTGGTTTTATAGGTTGTTTAGAATATTTGCTAAGATATGTTTGCAAGGCTCCTCAAATGATAACTGAAAGCTAGTAGCTGCTCAACAAATATTCATTTATTTCATCCACTCATTTCTTATTTATCATTAGTCAGGAAATATATGTGCTAAAATATTGACAATATAAATAAGGATGATAGATAAAAGGTACCATGCCTGTCATCTTTGAAATTAAAATAATTCCTACCTCCTCCAAAACTGTCTCACCTCACTCAACTATAACATGGGCTTACATTCTAGAACAGAGGTGGAAATTTTGTTGTATAGGTACCTAATTCCTCCTTCCCATGCTCAGGGCAGACATCACTAATCAATGATGACACTCTTTCCTACTGATCTCATGTGATGACTCGAAAGTCCTTTATTCCACAGACATGCACTAATAATCACCCCCAGCATATGTTTAAAACAAATTATCCATCCTTATCATAGATCAAGGGCAGCCTTAAGCCTGCAAATGAGGCTAAATTCAGAATAGATGGAGATTAGTCAAAGATGAAGGCAGACCCTGAGGGTGTCATGGCCCTGTGAAACCTGGTCGATCCTCAAAGAATTTGTGCTTTCTAATGAGTGGAAAGAGTGCGAAGGGAGTGAGTAAACGCCAACATTGAAATGGAAGAGCCAGCGCCTACCACCCATGGTTTCCAGAAAGGACCATCAAATTGTTTCCAGAAGACAGATTATTTCTCTAACGTAAGGAACATGGTACTGACGGCCACAGTTTCACTCACCTAGGGTGATGGACAGGCTCTAATGAGCAAGCCCCGTGAAGCTCCAGCCAGTGGCTGAAAACTGACATCGGCACCTGCAGGTTTTGTTGCAGCTGAGATCTCATGAAACTTCAAAGATGGCGGGGGTCCTCACCCACTGTGTTGGCTGCATCAGATACATCCACTGGTAGAGATTTCTGTTCTAACTCCTTGTTATTAATTACTCCCTTGGCGGGCCACAAGCTTGTTCACTCTCTACGGTGCAGCAGCCTCTGCTGGCCAAGTCCTGGTGGGGTTGGGCTGCTTCCACAGCAGGAGTGAGATATCCTGCTGGTAGCCCTTGTGGGTGGAAAGACTTTTTATCTGGAACCCTAAATAAAATTAGAACAGCATACTCATCTTTCTTTTTTGTTTGCTTGTTTTTGGATTTCTTCTGTTTGTTTGGTTTTGGTTGTTTGTTTGTTTGTTTGTTTGTTTTAAGACAGAGTTTCTCTGTGTAGCCCTGGCTGTCTTGGGACTTGCCCTGTAGCCCAGGCTGGCCTCGAACTCACAGAGATACACCTGCCTCTGCCTCCAGAGTGCTGGAATTAAAGGCATACACCCTCACTCTCTGGCTTATTCCTTCTCTTTTAAAGGCCTAGCAAATGGGTTTTTATTTTTATTTGTTGTTGTTTTGCTTGCTTGTGGCTATGTTCAAAAATGGGAGCTAGGAAACAGATGGGCTGCAAATTTATTTGGAGGGCCATGCCTCGAGGCAGCTCAGAGACCAGAATGCAGGGCCAGAAGCAGGTGAAACACAGCGGGGAAAAGGTGGGATAGGAAAGTGGTGGGAGGGAGAAAGAGAGGGGTGTGGTTGGGAGATAAAGAAAATAAGTAAATAATATTGAAGAAAACAAGGAACCAAAATTCTCATCCCCAGAGAGACACATCGGAGAAAAAATTACATTTAGAAACATTGGAGAAAAATCCAGAAAGAAGAAAGAGAGAAAGAAAGAAAGAAAGAAAGAAAGAAAGAAAGAAAGAAAGAAAGAAAGAAAGAAAGAAAGAAAGAAAGACCCAAAATGAAACAGAAACTACTGAGGAATCAAATTGGAATCGAGGTATTTGTATGGACTCCTGCTTTTATTGTGTGCGTGTGCGTGTGTGTGTGTGTGTGTGTGTGTGTGTGTGTGTGTGTATTGTGTATTAATAGTTATAGGTGTGTGTGCGCGTGCATCTGTATACCTTATATAAATGAGATGAAACTGCTTGGACCTAATAACAGCACATTGAGAATCCAGATTTTGATTTCTAAATGCCATCCTTTATTGAAAGGAAGCAGAAACTCTTGGGGAAAATGACTTACTCAGGAGCTGGAACAGGGAATGTACAAATTGAACCCCGGAACATCTTATGCCTGGAAGGAAGGAAGCACACCCCTGGATGAAGAGGGCACATCAACAAGGCAAAGACTTCAGCTTG